AAAGAGGAAAGGAAGAAAGGAAGAAAGAAAGAAAGAGAAAGAAAGAGAAAGGAAAGAAAGAAAGAAAGAAAGAAAGAAAGAAAGAAAGAAAGAAAGAAAGAAAGAAAGAAAGACAAGGCTTTTACAGGAGAGGAAAAGATGAAAGAACAATGTTTTAATTGCTTATGTTGTTCAAACCTGACAACTTGGGCGAACTTCAACTCCCAGAATTCCCCAGCCAGCCATAGTACCCTGTAAGGAGAGATGCAGCCATTTTTTTAAAAAAAATCCTCGTTTCTCTTCTCTTCCAGCGATATCCAACATGGACACCGCCCGGCAGGAAGCAGCTCTCTTGTATGTGGTGCAATCTGGCACGCTGATGATGGAGTACCTACGAGCCCGTGGGGCAGCCTCTTCGGCCGCAGCCTCCCGACGTCGGTGGGCCTTCCTGCACTCCCTACGGTGGCGAGGAGGAGAGGAGGACGAAGACGACGACCTGGGGGAGGAGAAGGAAGAGGAGGAGGAGGAGAGGAAAGGAGAGGAAGAGGAGGATGCCGAAGAGGAAGAGGTCTTCCTGGCCAGACAAGCCTGCAGTGCTGGTTTCAGGCGCGGTGGACGCCTCCGTTCGGTGGAAAGGCGCTTCTGGGCTCGGCCACGCAGCACCGAGTGGTGGGACCGGACCGTTCTGGAGACCTGGGACGATGGCGAGTGGTTGCAGAACTTCAGGATGTCCAAGGCGACCTTCTTGAACCTGTGTGCCCGGCTGTCTCCGGCTTTGCAGCGCCAGAAGACGCGGATGCGGATCCCGCTGAGCGTGGAGAAACGGGTGGCCATCGCCCTCTGGAAGCTGGCCACCTCTGTCTGCTACCGCGACGTCGGCAACCAATTCGGCGTGGGCAGGTCCACCGCTGGCTCGGTGGTGCTGGAGGTCTGCCGGGCCATTCAGAGGGTCTTGATGCGCTCCACAGTGAACGTAGGGAACAACCTGGCCGACATCGTCCGCGGCTTTGAAGCCAGGGGGTTCCCCAACTGCGCCGGTGTGGTGGGCACCAGCCACATGCCCATCTTGTGCCCTCCTCACCAAGCATCAGAGTACGTCAACACCAAGGGCTACTACTCAATGGCCTTGCAAGCTCTGGTGGACCATCAAGGGAAGTTTACCCATCTGAGTGCAGGGTGGCCCGGCAAGACTCACGAAGCCAAGATCTTCAACAAGTCCACCTTGTTCACCAAAGGGCAGGAAGGGACACTCTTCATGCCTGGTTCCATGGAGATCGATGGTGTATCGGTCCCTCGGGTCATCTTAGGAGGGCCGGCCTACCCTCTCCTTCCGTGGTTGATGGTGCCCTACGCTGAAGGTCTGGATGAGACCAAGGAGGCCTTCAATGCCACGTTGAGCCAATGCCAGGAACCCCTGGAAGAAGCCTTCAGCCGCCTGAAGGGCCGGTGGCGCTGCCTGACGGGACGCAACGATTGTGCGGTGGAGAACCTTCCCCGCCTCATCTCGGCCTGTTGCGTCCTGCACAACATCTGTGAGGAGAAAGGAGAGGCCTACGAGGAGAAGTGGGAAATGGAGGCTAGGCAGCTGGCCGCCACCTTTGAACAGCCTCTGCAGCGGCCTGATACACGCATTAAGCCCGCCGCACGGTCAGAGAAGGTGCGGGACACGCTCTGCATGTACATCTCTGGCAAGATGTGAAGAGCAGAAGGAGGCCCGGCTGCAAGGATTTTGGGGGAGTCCTGGCCTGAATTGAGACTTTGCACCCAGGGCATGGTCAGGTTGCACCCCAAAACTGCACCAAGAGTTCTGGGGAGCGTTTAGCTGGCAGACTGTGTTCTTGAAATTGATTTTGGTGTGAAGAGTTCAGAAATCTAGGGTAGGGAATCCATAGATTAATGTTTCTTAATCTTGGCTACTTTAAGATGGGTGGACTTCAACTCCCAGAATTCCCCAGCCAGCCAGCCATCTTAAAATGTCTGAGGTTGCTGACTTCCATGCTGGCTGGGGAATTCTGAGAGTTGAAGTTCACCCATCTTAAAAGTGTCCGAGGTTGCTGACCTCCATGTTGGCTGGGGAATTCTGGGAGTTGAAGTCCACCCATCTTAAAGTTACCAAGGTTACTAGCAGCCATATTGTCTGAGGAATTCTGGGAGTTGAAGTTCACATATCTTAAAGTGTCTGAGGTTGCTAACAGCCATATTGTCTGTGGAATTCTGGGAACTGAAGTCCCCCTATCTTAAAGTTACCAACATTGGTGACCTCCATGTTGGCTGGGGAATTCTGGGAATTAAAGTTCACCCATCTTAAAATTGCTGATGTTGAGAATCACTGCCTTACGCGGACTTGTATCCTTCATGTAAATAGGGGTGAGTCATTCAAATACCACTGACACTTGTTTTGCAAAGCGGATTAACCACCCCAGTACCATTTATCTGCCTCCGCAGAGCGTCGGGGAAATGAAGCACACCCTGTATTTAATCTTTAATTCATATTAGTGGATGATTGAGCATGGGGCTTCCTGCCAAAAATTGAAATCGGTGCACCATGGATTCCCTGGTGATGTGGATCCCAGCTCAACCCCAGGCTTGTATCCAGGTAAAGATGATTAACAGTCTTCTCTAGCTAGCATTGTAGCTAAGAGAAACCCCAAGAGTCAGTGAGATGGACAGGAAATAAATTTGGATGAAGAAGGAGAAGGAGGAGGAGGAGGAGGAGAAGGAAGAAGGAAGAAGGAAGAAGGAAGAAGAAGAAGAAGAAGAAGAAGAAGAAGAAGAAGAAGAAGAAGAAGAAGAAGAAGAAGAAGAA